AGAGAGAGAGAGAGAGAGAGAGAGAGAGAGAGAGAGAGAGAGAGAGATGGACAGACAGACAGACAGATGGCAGAGACAGATGGATAGAGACAGTGTTGTCTGAACACATATGGATGTTAGGCTCTGCACTGTAGCCTCAGCAACCTACCGTTGGTCTCACCCGTGAAGAAAGCAACCTCATCACCCCTACCCCACCCCCACAGTCACCAGCTACCTCTAGCTTCTCAACAGATGTTCATCCCTGTGAATCCCTTCCCATCCAAGAGAAATGAACTTCTAAACTGTGCCTTAGGTTGGTGAGATGACTCAGTGGGTCAAGGGGGTTGTCTCTAAGCCTGATGACCTGAGTTCAAGCACCAGGAAGGATCCTCATGACAAAAGGAGAGAATAAAACTAACCTCCAAAAGTTTTCCATTTGTCTTCTGCCCTACGCATGCATGCGTGCACACATATACCAGCCACACACATAAATAAATTAAATACAAATAATTTTAAAAATTAGAAAGTGTCTTGAGGTCTGGGGATGTGGTTCAGCAAAGGGTACTTGCTTTCCATATACAAAGCTTTGAGTTTGATCCCCAGCTTCCCATAAACTGGTCCTGATGGGGTAAGTCTGTAATCCCAGCAGCCAGGAGGCAGCTGGAGACGGACACACACACACACACACACACACACACACACATACACACACGGACAGTTGTTCAATTGTTCAAGGTCATTCTTGCTTACATGGAGAGTGGAGAGTTCACAGGCTGGCTTAAATTTCTAGGGACCTTGTAGTAGTTTGAATGAGAAAGGGCCAAACTGTTTAGGACAGATTAAGAGGTGTGGCCTTGTTGGAGGAGGTGTGTAAGGGGCCAAATGAGGCCTACTCCCCTCTCTCTCTGCCTGGTGGCTGTTGTCTCAGGATGTAAGCGCTCAGTTACTGCTCCAGAACACACCTGCCTGCCTGTTGCCATGCTCCCCATCATGATGGTCATGAACCCTACCACCTTCCTATTAGTCAACAGAAAATGGCTCCTCAGTTCAGAGCTGACAGCTGTGTATAAACTTGTCCTTCAGAAAAAAGCACGCGGTTACACAGATACAACGCAAACATGATGCATCTTAAGCCACTATCTCCCTGCAATGTAATTCCCTTCCCTAGCCTTTGTGCACTACCTCTATCCCAACCTGAAGAAGGGCCATTTCTGAAATGCTCAAATTCAGCGTTGTTGTTGTTGTTACAGTGACTTCTTCCTTAATACAAGAATCAGTACGTACACGACAGTTTTTAAGGATTGTATGAAAAGGATTATTCTGGAAGACTTAAAAATAAGCAATCTTTTTAAAGAAGGAAGTACATAAAACATAACAGTGAAATCCCTAAGAATTTGAGGAAAATTTTGCCAATTCTAACATAAATCCATTAATCCAGTCATTACTTCAGGAAGCCCGACCCTAATGGGAAACCTGCAGCAGGAAGCAGGATCACGAGGCCCCTCCAGCTCACTCAAACCGCAGGAACCGCACCCTGCTGAGGACGGGTGGCATAGGAGAGAATGAAGCCACTGTCCCCAAAGCTCGCTTAATTCATCCTTTGACGAAAATTAAATAAAATATCATGACTCAACTTCTCCTTTTTCAGAGTAACACTTCTGCAAAGCAATCTGTGGAAAATTGGGAGTGCCAATTAGCTCGGTCACCTTGCAGGTCACGTACACTGTCTGCTAGCCAAGGTCACTCTTCTTTGAAAAGAGATTCGTTTTATTATTATGAAGGTGTATGTGTGCAAGCACCCAGGGAGGCCAGAAGAGGCCATGGGACCCCCCAGAGCTCTAGTTACGGGTGGTTGTTAGCCACTGGACTTGGTGCTGGGAACTGAATTCAGGTCCTTGAGAGCAGCCAGTGCTCTTAACCAGTGAGCCACCTCCCCAGCCCTTCGGGTCATTCTTTATCCCATGTCCTTTGGAAATGCCATAGCTGTACAGAGGCTGTGCTACCTCTCAAACTCAATCTTGTTTTCTATCCAAGCAATCTGACGACACCCTGGGTGTCTCTCTTACTCCTGCTCCGCCTCTGAAACACCTTTATGCTTCTTCACATCTTCATTTGGAGATTCACAAAAGCAGCTATGTGGGAAGGGTACATAAAGTTAACAATTGCCTTCTAGGTTGACAGGGTGAGGACCCGCTCTTCTTACACAGAGATGCTTGTGTTCACTGATGTGTTGGGCACCTGAAGCTCCGGGAAAGGAGGGAGTCACAGAACGACAGCAACTAGCTGCCTGTTATATGTTCTCATTTACTTGTTTAGTTATTTATTTTGGTATTGTGAGGCAGGGCCTCTGTAACTGAGGCTGACCAGATATTTGATCTTGAACTCTTGACCCTCCTTCCCTCCGCGTCTCAAGTGCTAGGATTCTAGGATTGTACCATCATTACCCAGCATTTTATAAATGGCAACATGTGTCTCCTGGAAATGGTGCTACAGCCTCAAGAGGACTGACTATGAGAGCCTAAGTACATTATGAGTTTTAATTACTATGCCTTTGAGATCCATGAGACAAAAATGCCTCTGAGCTGCAAGCCCCTTGCCCAAGGACAGACAGTTCCTGAAATGATGGAGGTTACTGTTTATAAGAGATAACAAGCCGCATGTTTTCACTCCCCTAAACAAGGTTGTTTGATCCATCTGCACCAGAAGTGCTTGGGAGTGGGAGGTTCACAGGCAGGAAATACATCAGGATGTAGGCTTGCCCCTGATTGGACCTCATGGGAAATACTTAAGCCCCTGCAAATTGTGACTCGGAGCCATTTGCCTGGTAAACTGTGCATGGAGTTGGCCAGCGCCCATCCACCAGGCCAGTATTTACTTAAAGTTTGCTTCAAATATGGCTTTAAATTGTGGTACTGGTAGTATTCATGACCAGTGGGATTAACAAGACCACAATGGTGCCCAGAAGAGAGGCTGCCCCCACAAGCAAAAGAGAAAAGAAAAAGACACATTGGACAGTCTGAACTCCATTAGACGTGGGTACAGGGGCAAAAGACTTCAAAGAAGTGTGACCTGAAAGAAGAAATTCTCCATTATTCTAACGTTCAAAGCGAGAACTAGGCTTCCGGTATTAGTCCCCACCCCCAACCTCATCCACAATTTAGCTACTAGTATGTGAAAATATGACAGGGGTACAGACATCCTTGTGTGTGTCTGTGGATTAGTTTGTGCACATCAGTACAATGCCCAAGGAGGCCAGATCCAGAGGGTATTGGATCCTCTTGAGCTGGAATTATACAGGATTGTGAGCTGCCCTAATGTGGGTGCTGAGAACTGAACTCAGGCCATCTGCAAGAGCAGCGTGTGCTCCTAGCGGCTGAGCCAGCTCTCCAGCCCTAGGACCACAGATTTCTATGGCAACTTATGTAGAAAGTAAGCAGTGAAAGAATAAAGTAAGTACAAAGGATAGAAAGACGAAAAGACAAGTTCACAATACGTTACAGCGTTTCAGTGGATGGATGGTCTTATTACAGCTTAGGTGGATGGGCGCGTCTTTCTGGGCCTCCATTTCCACATCTGTAAAATGGGATGGAGAATTATACCCCCTTAGAGGGCAGTTCCGAGATTGGACATGGCAAGCAAGCGAACACAGTTTTCAGTTAATGAAGTATTGTATTTGTGTTAAAAATACTAAGTATAGAACATAACAGCCAGGTATGGGCAATAGTTTGTCTTCAGACCTATGAGACTGCAATCCCAAGCCTAACTGCTCTTCTTTACCCATTTCACTGAGAATAAAGAAATTCAAGCTGAGTTTCTGCCCTGCTTTCTGGGCACTGGTTTCCCACCACGAGAGAGGTGGGGAAAGAGCCACTTTAACAACCTTTGCATGTGTGGTATTGGGAATTGAAGTTCAGGCCTCCCAGAAGGCAGGAGTTCCATTACTAAACTGTATTCCCATGCCACATAATGGTCGTGTTTTTAATATTCATCATTTCATTTTAATGTTCATTTTAAATATTTGTTTTAATATTCATTTCTATCTATTCAAACAGTGAAAGACATTTGACGTGCTCCTAGATTATACAGAACAAAGAGGAGCACAGGCAATGAGATGACCCATCTTGACAGTCAACATGGTTACATTTAGAGTTGTCAGGGAAACAGAACTCAGTGTGTCTATGAGGGTGTATCCAGGGGGATTTAACTGAAGAGAGGAGACCCACCCTGAATGTGAAAGGCCCCATCTCTCAGACTGGGTCCTTCAGCTGAACACCAACATGCATCTCTTTCTGCTTCCTGACCGTGGGTGCAGTGAGACAATGCTTCCAACATCATAATTGACCGTAAACCCAAACTGTGAGTCTAAACAAGCCTCCCTTCCTTGAGTTGCTTCTGTCTCAGGTACTGCAGCAATGAGAAGGATCACTAATAGAGCAGTGACATTTACCAGACTGGCCCTGCCGTGTCCCTGGTTACTCCAACAGAGTGTACACTGACCTCCCGGAATGCAGCCTACGCTCTGCTTGGAACCAGTGAATGTCATCTGGACCCTCTAATCTCCCCATTTCCTTCTGAGTCTAGGACCCTGCCATTCAGAGAGCACAAGAGCCAAGAAGTCGACACCCTAATGACATCATAGTGAAGATTTACTGGAAGCCACACTGTCAATGACATTCCCCCAAGCTTCCGAGGGCTGCCTGCAAAGGCAGCACCACTCATAACCAACTAGCCTTCTATCAGAGGTTGCTTATTGTTTCTCATCTCCCTTCCCAGAACTTTTAAAAGATGAACACCTGAAGAAATATTCGGAGAAGAACAGGGCTGTTTTGATTGGCAAAGCATGACTCACGTAGACACTGAGTACCTAGGCCAGCTGTTTTTTATATACAAGGAGTCACAGGGGAAGATGACCCAGTCAGTAAAGTGCCAGTATGTAAACAAGAGAACCTGAGTTCAGGTTCACAGCAGCGAAACGAAAAAGCTGGGCATGGTGGTGATTCCTTAAAATCCCATCTCTGGGGGGGTAGTGACACAAGGATCCCTGGGGCTTGCTGACCAGCATATCTAACCTAATTAATTGATGAGCTCCAAGTTCAGAGAGATACTCTGTCAGTAATAATAATAATATAGAAAGAGACACTCAGGATTACCCTCTAAACTTCACACACTCACATACACACTCCACACACATACACACACATAAACACATTCTACACACATATGACTACACACACACACACACACACACACACAACACATACATATTTACACCAAGAGAAAAAGAAGAGGTGGTGGGGGTGTTGTTATTCCACATTGGTAGAGATAAAACCAATAGACTCGGTTCCTGGGAGCTGAAGTTATAGCTGTGATTCAAGAAGATAACGGTGAACTGTTAAGACACTGGATGCCATCAACTCAACTGTCACATGGGTGGCCCTGCTTATCTAAATGGGTCACAAAGCCAAGTCATGTGCTGGAGGGATAGGGGAAGGGTGGCGCAGTGAGGGAGAGATAAGACAGGACAGGGAGAGGAAGTAGAACGTGCTGGATGCACTATGGAATTGTCAAATAGCACAATTAATCACTATTAAAAAGAAACTGGGTATTCTTCTGTGCCTGGAAACTCTCCAGATATCTCATTAATAAGTGGGTGAGAGGTGACACTTTAAGTTTGTGATAATGGCCAGTAACGTCCTGAACAGTGTAAGTGATTAGATGATGGCCAAACACTCTCGCCAACACCATCATTAAAATCTTGGAAGATGAACGTTTTTGGCAGTTTTAAAAGCTAACCAATGGTGTGTCAAATTAAGAGTCTTATCTCTCAACCATTTCTGAAAAGTGTCGGACTATTAGGGCTAAGGTTATTAACTTTTCTTTCATTTCTTCTGACTCTACAGAGTGGGTAAATGCTCGGTCAGTCAGTGCACGCCTGCTGACTGGCTTAAATGTGAAATGTCCCCCACAGACTCATGTTTCAATACCGCATCTCCAGACGGTGGCACTGTCTGGGGAGGTTGTGAACTCTTCCAGACCACACCCACCCTAGCATAATAAGTCACACAGGCCTAGACTTGCAAGCAGCAGCTGCCTCTGGCTCTAGCTTGAACTGTCTTCTCCCTTGTCCTTTAGTCCAGATGTGAACAAGTCCTGCTAGAGGCTCCTTGCCAGAGTGGCCATGACCTCTACACCATGCCTTCCTGATTACAACGGACCCAAACCAAAGAATCTATTTACCTTCAAGTTGCTTCTGCCTGGTACTATTGTCACAATGGTGAGAAAATCTACCTCGCACAAAGCCCGAGGGATATTATGATGTCAGTGGCTACTTCAGACTTTGCTCAGAGAGGAAGCAACACAGGGGTGATCCAGTGTATGAACTACATGGTGATCTGCCTGCAGGCAGAGCAGGAAACACACAGCTCATGATGCCCAGGCTACATGTGCACTGGCGCTGCCTCATAGAGCCGAGAACACCATGGCAGAGAAGAGGGTTACAAGCTTTCCAGAATGGCCTCCCGGCCTGCTTCTGTTGAGCATCCATACAACAAGGCCTCATGGTCAGTGGTTACGAATGTGTCATTCATTCTAACAGGGCTTTCAGAAAAGATCACCTTCGTAACAAGGACACTCGAACTAATCTCAAGCAGGAAGAAGAGTCATCTAACTCTCTCCTCTTCCTCCACAGTCTCTCATCCCTTCTCCAACAGTCCTGGTGTGGCAGAAGACAACATGGAATTCATACAAAGAAAGATAGCAGTGGCCAGTACTTGTACTAAGCAATATTAAGCAATATGGCTATTGACTTTATGAGTTCTGTGAGTATCTAGAATCATACTGTCCTAAGTGATGGACAAAAGAATAAACACATCAAAGACAAAGGCAATGTACGAAAAAACAACAGGCCTTGTAACCCCCTTCCCAGTGTGCCACCCCCAGATGCACAGAAGGAAAGACTGGAGGTTGAGCAAATCTGTACTGTAGACAGCAACAGAGTGGATGGTGTAAGACTTCCTACAAGCCCAGCATTTTATGAAGCATGCCTGTAGCTATAGGTAGCAAAGCTCTGGCAGTAATGTTTAATAGCAAGAAGGCAAGTATTCTAGGTTTGCAAGCCTGTTCCTTTGCCTTTAAAAGCCAGGAATTGAGAGCAGCAAAGAACACAGCATGCACACAAACATGGATACTGAGAACATTTGCTAAGGAGATGGGGAGAGGAAGAAATCAACGGCCATTCCCTTGGGGAGTTTTCAGTTTAATACCAAAGTGAGAAGGCACACACGATAGGTGGCTAAGTGACCATGTGAATGAGCTTGCAAGAGAGGCAGCGAGCAAGAGAAAGATGGGGATTTAAATGAGCTCCCAAGAGTTAAAGATATAGCCTTGGTGTTAGAGGGATGGCTCAATGGTTAAGAGCGTTTGTTGCTCCTGCAGAGGATCTGAGTTAGATTTCTAGTACTTGCATGGTGGCTCACAACCATTAGTGACTTCCATAGATAACCCAGGCAGATATGTAAGACTCTGGCCAGGCAGGCTAGTGTACTTGGCAAGATCCAGGCCCATCAAAGAAGTGATCTACTTAAGTCCATTGAGATGTATAAATTTTGGGTCTGGCTAATCTCACTGAGTAATGCTTTATATATGAAAGTTCTTTACAATAAAGTTTTAATTACTTTAAAAAAATAGTTGACAGCATCTAAGAAATGACAGCCCAAGTTGCCCAGTTGGTCTCTAGTATGCCCAGGCAGGCATACACACCCCCCACACACCCACACACATGTACCCTCACACATACCATAGCCACACCCCCTACTCTCCATGTACCATCACACATGTACCCTCACACATACCATGAATATACACACAAATGCATATCCTCATAGATACCATAAACACACACCGAAAAATAATTAATTAGTTAATGAATTAAGTAGGAGCCAGGGCATGAAGTATGCAATAGCAGAATGGGAGATGAGAGAGACCCGGTCTGACCCATGCCTGTCCTCACGAAGTGCATCTGCAAAGCTCTGGCTACTATGTATCAGCCGCACAGAGGAAGAGAAATTATGTGGTCACCGTGGACTCAGGGAGAGAACCCACAGAATGCTGGGCCAGGAGAGATTCAGCTGACGACCGATTAGAGACAGTCAAGGGTGACCAAGGAGAAGTCCATGAGGAGAGTCTTTGACGACAGAAAGTGGTGTTGCAGTAGCTTAGCTGGAGAGGAAAGCTGAAACCAGGTGGCCCCGCGTTTCACACAGCCAGGTTTCTGCAGTAGACAGACATCTCACTAAACAGGTCCAGGATGCAAGCCAGTCTGAGGAAGATGCTGAGGTTCAACGCAACAGGAATCAGCATGAGACGCAGAAGGCAGTGGAAATGTTTTATTCTTTTTCTTTTCTTCATGCCAAATACAGTTCAGATGGCAAAGGTTTAAAAAAAAGTAAGAAAACGATTGGGAAGGTGAGCAACTTAACCCTGAGAACTGTTTATTGTTACAGTATTACTTAGGGGCATTAATCACCAACAGGAACTGAGAATTCTAGAAGAAGAAAGTAGCCAGGGTTTAAAGG